AAATTTATATGCCAGGGCTTTTCTTTTTTTCTTTTCTTGCACCTTTTTCTTTCTTTTTTTCTTTTCTATTTTTTCTTTAGATCTTGCTTTTACTGTATTTAAAACTCTCAATAAATATAAATAAATTAAAACAAGAAGCCATGTATTTCTGATTATCAGATGCTGATTATTCAAAACTGAGTTGCAAAACAAAAGAATTATCCTTGGCTTCTTAGTTTTCCTGAGACATTGTTCCACAGATAATGAACTGCATCTTGCAGATCACTGTTTGGTCTTTAAAAAATGAGTTGAGACTTGCTATTATACTACAATAACCTAGTTTTCATATACAGTTATAAACTGCTTATACTTTTGAGTCTGCTTTTCATGTACCACTCAGCAATTTCTAACCTGGTTAGTGCTGGTTACAACCGAGTAAGGGTTTTGTGCAGATCTGTCCTTGAGCTGCATCAAAGATGGATTGCTGAAAATGCTGGTTTAAAGTTCAGGGATATCATACTGAGATTTGCTTGATGATCCTTACGATCAAAATAGTCCTGTGTTGTAGAGAGGCCACTTTTGATCTGAGAAATGCTGATGTTTGGCTTGAGGCCAGGGAAGAATATTTGGATGAGCAAAGAGCGGTCTCAGGCAGATTCCAAGGATCAAGAAATAGCGCAAGGAGAAATATTTTTTCTCTTCTGTCTTGCTATATCTCTGGTGGGCTATTGTCTATGTGGGCTCAAACACTAGAACTCCATTGTTCTGTTACTCTAACTTTTTTGATACCTGAAAGACAGGGATGTTTATAAATGGGGAATACCCTTCCAGCACTCAGTGCAAGGCAGATGTGGCTCTTCCAGGCTGGCTTATAATACTTGAATACACGGCTGTCACAGAATGGCATTAACCTATTTTGGCCTCTGGTGTGTGTGTGTGTGTGTGTACAGACGTAGAGCATTTTTTCTTCCTCTTTTTCAGTCTGTATGCTGAATGTTAATAAATAAGAATGTGGAAAGCATTCCTCATGCTGTAATGTGCCAGGATGAAGGGACCAACGAAACTGGCACATTCAGCAGTGCTGATCAGGGCCAACACATGTAAGAAAGGGGCAGGGCTTTGATCATGTCATCATGATCATCACCTCTTGACATTTTGATCCTCCCTGCAATCCCCCGTTTCTGATACTACGTACCATCAAGGAAACTTTTCTACAAAATGCCATCTTATAAATAAGATTCCTGTATCTTCGAAAGAATAGTCTCACCTTTTCCCTAGCTGCACGCCTAGGCAGAGTGTAGGTCTGCTCCTCTTGTGCTTATCTCTCCTGTACACACACATACACACATATTAACATCAAGGTTTCTTGCTTCTGCCGTAGTTATGTTGTAATCTGAGTTCTCTGTCCTGTGTAATAAAAACGAAGCCATGAAATCAGGCTTACACTGTATATGCCCCATATAACAGTGATTTCTTGGAGAGAAGGTATGCAATATTTTGCTAAAAAATTGAGTGGCTGAAGATATTTTTGCAAGCAGATTATTTCAGCTGTCTGCAGTTCATAGGATGCCAGGGCATTGCTCGGCAGTTGCTCTTACAGATTGTAACAACAGCAATGTCATGTTAAGAGCAAATTAAGCATTGGACTTACTTTTCCCTGAGTTGCCCTATCAATCTAACTTTAGAGAGCTTAACACATTGGTCCTGTTGCCACAACTAGGCCTGCAATTAAGAGGCATCAAATGATGAAAGCAGCATTGCACCATTGCAATACTGGCTGTGCTGCTTTTGCAACTGCATGGTGACGTATGAAAGGGACAGAGCATGTATCATGACAGCACGAAAACTTTCGTTGTTTTGACAAAAGCTTGAATCTTGTGGATACCTCTAGAATGCGGTAAAGTACTGTGAAAAAAACAAAATGGGTTAACTGACCTAGTCAACTAAGCACCAGGGAAGTTAAACTCATTTTGTTTCTATATTCTGCTTTTCTTCCAAGAGTTCAAGACAGCATACAGTCCATAAACTCACTTTTCCAATTCTTCTCCTTGTAAGATAGACTGGGCTGAATGAGAGTGGTTGGTCTGAAGTCACATTCTGAGCTTCCATGTGGTTCAGGTAGAACTAGAACTAGGCGAGAACTTGGGAGACTCTGGTTCCCTGCTCCTAATCCAACACTTTATCAGCTATACCACTCTGGCTCTCAACCTGTGGGCTTCCCCCCCTTTACCCCCCCCCCCCGTTCTATATTTCATAAACATGTACTTCAATCCCATATTTTAACTGCTTATACTTTTTACATCTCCTTTGTCACACTTGATCTGTAAGTCACCCCAGTGGTATGCAGATAATTAGTTCCATGTGCATCAGACACCCATATTCTGGATACATACATTTTTTTGTAGCCTCTATGCTGACCTGTTTCAAGAGCTTCCTGTTGGAATATTTTGGGGATTGCTATTTGCATTACACAAGTTTTTCTGCTTAACATTTTTAGTTCTTACAGGTTTCTAAGATGATGTCACGATATTATACAAGATGGTATAAAATCAGGTACCATCTCAAATAGGATCTGTCTTTTCTGATCTAGGGATCCTGACCAGAGGAGTAATTCCCAATGTGTGCTGTTTCTGGTGTCTTCACAGTGTCTGTGAAAAGGGAAAACAAGCGTGAAATTGCTTACGTCAGTTTCAGTCATTAATCAGTGTTAATAAAGGTAATTTGTAGTGTACGTACAATGTTTGTATGCATTATCTGAAACACTTGAGGTCAAGCAAACATCTACAGTGCTCATCCCTGCTTCCTGAAACTGAGATCTCTAGCCAGAGTTGTAGTGGAGGAGGAGCAATTAGTAGGAGTGACTGCATGGTGACTCTTCTGAGAATTAACCACTCTGCATGGTAGCTTTGTCAACCGAAAATCTTGTCCTCTAAATGTTCAACAAAGCGATAACAATAGCTTTAAAAAGCATCCTTACTTTTCATTGTTCCTGTATAATCCTTGTTTATGAAGCACTGTTGTGGAGCACCCTGCAAATTAAAGTTAGCATTTTTGTTTCTTTAGAATAATGCTTGAACTTTTTGCATTTCAGCTTGCTGTAAAATGCAGTCATAGCTTTTGAGGGGAATCATGCTATAATCCATGCTCTCTACTTCCATGTTCTAAATTCAAAGGAAAGTCTACTCCAGACACATACCATATCTTCATTTAGTCAAGGATAAAGTTAATGAGTTCCCACCATCTCTGTACTAGCCTTTCCAAAGTGAGTGCTTTCTAGATGCATTAGTCATGCAAGGGGAAAGTTATGGGAACTGAATCTGAAATATCTGGAGGGAGAGGGATAACTGGCTCTGGTTCACTGTAATATACTCTGTTCTGAGCTGACAGAAATCCTCTTTTCTTAGGTTGCAGGACTTCTGGAGCATTCCATGGAAGAAGATCAATAGGAAGTTGCCCTTCATGGCATGGGGCTGGGTTATTTGAGGGACTGCCTCTCCCCAGTTACATCTGCCCATCCCATCAGGTCTGGCACAGAAGGCGTGCTGCAGGTCCCGTCTGCTAGGGAATTACATCTGGCGGAACCCAGGAGGTGGGTCTTCTCTGCCGTGGCGCCTGCTTGGTGGAATCTTCTCCCCCCAGATGTGAGATAAGCTCCATCCCTCTCAACATTCTGCAAGTTCCTCAAGACCTGGCTATGTGATCAGGCCTGGGGGTCTCAGGGGACCAGGGAGATTTGTGATAGCTCCCTTATTAATAATATCACTTCCTGTTTTGTGTGCTTTATAATTATTTTTACTTGTAATTTTTTTAATGTATTTATTCTTTTTAGTTGTTGTACATCGCCCAGAGTCGCTTTATATGAGATGGGTGGCTATATAAATATGATAAATAAAATAAATAAGTTGTATAAAGACCAGTAATTAAAATAAGAGACTTAAAAAGGAAGAATTGGCTGTTTTCCAAAGCAAGTTTTGATCTTACAAACTGCAAGGTATTTGTACATGCTACAGCAAACTCCTACAATTTCTAGACCATGTCAGAAACTTTCTTTAAAGAAATCACAGTAGAAGCTTTATGTAATTTGGGAAGTTTTTAATATCATGAAGAAATCACAGATAAGAACAAATTCAGTGTTTTCTCTATTGTTAGATAAAATGACAAAGCACAGATTCATGATCAAAGAATGCATTTCAACCCCTTCTCATTAACAGTGATAAACAACAGCTTGAGAAAGAAGACAAGAGTACAATGTTCCATACAGACTTGCTCACATAAACATAATTTATTTTAGGAGCATTTTAGTAAGGGGGAAAAATAATCTCCCTGTTTCTTCATGGACAAACCAAGAATTGAAAATTCAATCTATTTTCCTCCATCCTGATGTCCTCCCCACGTATGGGTCTGGAAATCCCTTCATTTCCATCATCTTGGTTGGGTATGATGAAAATTGTATTTCTAGTACATCAGATCAACACTACATTATGGAAAGCTGGCTTAAGACATCTGCAGAGACATAAGCATCTGGAGCACAACAGGCAGGGGAAAGTTCACTGGTTCCTTCATACTGGAAACATCTACATGAGTGGTTTTGCTCCATTAATTTGTGAGATTATGTGACACCAGCAAATAGTGTCAGCACCATGCCCACGCAGCTCTTTAAAGGAGCAGGATACAGGAGTAGAAAGAAGTGGTGGCTGACCCAGTTCTCTCTTTTTTTTTTACAGGTCAACAGATAAAACAGATCTCCCCTGCTGGCTCACTGTTTATTATCTCTGTTCTTAGCTCAGCCAACTGCTTCTTTGTCTTTTTCCAGCTACTTCTATTGTTACTACTTTGAGGGAAAAGGAATATTACAAGAAAGTTACCATAACAATCAATAATCGTACCTACTGGAATGGAGAAAGAAATGCTTGTATACAAAAGAGTGTCTATATTCACAAACATGTTTGGTTTTAATTTAGTCACTAAAAAATTAGGGTATGTGCTTTGCTGAGTTTAGCATGGCCTATTTGGTGTGGTGTGTGGTCGTCTTCTTAGCCACAGAGAATGCCCCATTATTCATTGTGTTGTTTGTCATACATCTTCAGTCCAAGTCTCCCAACCATCATCAGACTTGAAAGAAAAATATAGAGAGTTTATGGGAAATAAAGGAAAATGGAAAAGACAACTCTTATATTAATGGTGTTATTTTTGCCCCATTTCAAACACTTTGGTTTTGGGTCTAATTAGAGACAAATGAGAGAAAGCAAATACACTAGTAGAGAGAGCTGCTACTTTTTTTAAAAAATATTATTTTTAGCTTCTGAGGACTGCTGGGGATGTGACCTGAAATATCATGGGCAACTGCAGGGAAGAGGGCAAAGAGGAAAAGATGACAATACAAGCATGATTACATCATCATGGAAATGCCACACTTCCACCAGACATTGGGTATGAATTCATAATTATTGTATTGTGTGATAACATAATGTTAGTGTCACTGTAGTTTGCTGCAGATGCCCCTGGGACATACATTGACATAAATGGGTGACCAGAATCAAACCTTTTTCAATCTTCAGATTTTTTTTGGAGGGGGGGCAATGACAGTCACAGTTAAGTACAGAAATGTATGCATTTTGCTTCAAAGATTTGATGCATCGATTTCCCCCTTACTTTTGTTGAAAATAAACATTCAAAAATAGTGCCACCAAAATTAGCTATTTTGGCATTGCATTTTAGTAGCCTGACCTTTGGGTTGTTCAGGGATGTTGGGATCCACATCACTGCCTGACACCAGTCTAGCAGTGATCAAGTAGACTGGCAGCTCCTGTGTTCAGCCTTGCCAATCTGACATTGTGCACTCTCTTAAAACCAATTAAAAGTAATGCTTCCCTCATCTGTTGGCAGGGGGAAAATACTTCCTGCTGTTGTCTCTCAAAAGGGTGATTCATGGGGCAAACAAGGAATGTACTTGATAGAGATATTTATAGTTAACCACTGTGGTCACTTTATAGCAGTATTTCTCAACCTTGGCAATTTTAAGATGGGTGGACTTCAACTCCCAGAATTCCCCAGCCAGCATATTGCCATGGTTGAGAAATAGTGCTCTAGAGTATAGCAGTTGATTGGAAAAAGGAAGGCAGACTATAAGCCGGGGCTGCATAACCAAAGACTTGGAGGCTAAATCTGCCCCCAAGAGCCTTTCCAATTGCTACTGAATTGTCATTTTGAATATGACAGATGGGGGAAATGATTAAATACATGGGAATCATATTAATAGTATTAACAATGCTAACTGAAAGCTAATTTAAAGCTAACTTAAACCTAACTTAGTTTTTGTTCCACTTCCTTCTCCTGTTTCTGATCACATGCTGACACATTATTTAAGAGCCAAGCATGGCTCTCAGCCTGAAAAAAAAAAAAGTACATACTTGTGGTCAGGGTAGGTGGAAGAGAGAGGAAGAGAAACATTTTGGAGATAGCTCAGACCCACAGTTTCCAAAGCTATGGGACTGCTCAATGCCAATTTGTTCCTATTTAATAAACAATGTTATTTAATCTAAAACTATTAACATTTTAAAAGGCTATTTGTACTAACTGTCAGAGTAGTTTTTGAAAAACACGATAACACAGTGCTGTTTGTTGATCCTTAGACATAAATCTCACTACCTTTAATAAAACTCTCCCCAAATGGACACAAGATTGCACCCTTAATGCAACGGTGAGAGCATAAAAGCACGCAGCAGAATACCTTGCCCCAGCAATCAATCCTGCAGGCATGAATTTCCCTGAGTTGTAGACTCGCACTCCCATAATGGCAGCTAAGGTTCCGGAAGCAACTAATTAAAAGATTTTAAAAAACAGAAATAAGACACATGCCGTGCATTGTTATCTCATGGGTGCTTCTGTAAGGAACTGCCAACCTGAGAAGGATGATAACGAAAAGCCAACAATATTCACTTAATAGTTCATCTTTAAAAACTCTCAGAGTCAAAATGTGTACTCCCCACATTGCAACATTCTCAACTGAACGCTTTCTAAGAATGCTTGCATTTCCACCTCGAAAATATCCCAACAGTCCTCCTTTTATCTGGCTTTTAAAATTATGTTTATTTCAAAGACATACTTTCCCCTTTTTCTTTATCTCTCTTTTGTATTTTTTGGCCTATGATGGTAAATTGAGCAAACCAAACTAAACCATCCCAACAAAACTGAATGATAAACCCCATATGTATGACTCTGAGAAAGCTAACTGTCAGGCCTAGCCCAAGGAACTCCAAGAGACAATGCCAATTCAGTCCAGCTATGTTTATTAGCTACACCCTCTAGCAAAAATCTTCCCAGACTAAACCCCCAGCCCCAAAAGTAATCCAGCCACAACAGAG